ATACGACCCAGGCAAGGGCAGGCAGCACGCACTAAAAGATAAGCTGTGTCCCCAAAGCACCCCTGCTTTGCTTTCCTGCTGTCACCCCATTTTCCTTGAGTTGGTGTGCGTACACCGCGATTGAGGGTGGTCTACAGCCTTCACTCAGAGAGAAATAGTGAGCGATTTGCCCCATTGCTCTTCTCTGTCAGCGCGCGAGCGATGATGGCAGATCATAACGAGGGAATTGGGACCATTTCTAAACGACAGGATATAGAGGTAGAGGAACATGTATGGTTATATGAGTCAGAGACGCTATTAAAAACGGAATAACAGTGTGGTTGTGGAGCACATTATTCATAAAATTGTAAAATATTGTAATGTATGCATAATATGTGAGCATATGTTAGAGAGAATCTGAAAGGAAATGAAAAGAATATGGAGGGGAATAAAGAGCTTTAATCTGCCAACTGTCAGATGTGTGTGTGTGTGTGTACCTGTGTGTTCCAGGTATGATAGAGTGAGTGAAGCAGGGGACGGGAGCTCCGGAGATACAGCCCAGACGTGAGTGATTGGCGAAATGAATGGGGGGAACTCACCATTGTAATTAGAAGTGCTACGCTTCCCAGCAGGCTGTACCTTTTAAGTGTGATTACACTGTGTGATTTATATGCTCAGAATGCCTCCATCACTCTTGCTTAGAAAACTTGCCACATGTCGCAAAGCTTTACCTTTTCTTAATTCAGAGTTTTTATTCTTATAGATTTAGCGTTCTTGGGGCGGATTTCAGCTTACGTTTTTGTTCAGGAGATCAGATACAGTTACTGTCAACCAACGTTTTCACTTTTCTTGTATTAAATGTATTCATGCCTATTTATTTTTTCCTTTCATTTCACATGTCTTCTCTACACACGTCCCTTCTCTTTCTTCTTTCGGTGTTTTTCCACAGTAAGCTCTGGGGGTTTCAGTTTGTATTTCTTATGCCTTTTGTTTAAATCATTTCTCTCTTTCTTTCTAAATAAAATAAACCTGATTCAGATAAGAAGGCAGATCAAAAGAATAATGTGCAAAGTGAGTGTGTGATGCACCCACACAGATGCCCCTTATAATCTACATATGATCCGCTCTATTCATTCCACTGTGCATTTGTACGGTAGTTTGCCCTGCACTGCGTACAAGTAGGCTTTACAACAGAACAAAAACCTTTCTTAGAAGGTATTTACTACTGAAAACAAGCGGTCATGCAATTCTTTGAGCATCATCCATCTGAGCATCAAATATTAGCTCAAAAGATAAACGTTTAAAGTGTTTATGAGTCTAATATATGCAGTGTATGTATTGCATATCTGTCAGGCAAACACATCTCTGTTGGAATCAAGTTGAAATAAACGCAACAGAGTTATAAGTGGGCAGAAATGAGTTGCCACTTAGGGCAAATGGTTAGTTGCTTAATAATACAGGAGATCCTGCTGTAAGTCTTAATGTGTGTACAATGATGTTGCTTATATCACATCGACTTGGTGAAAAGGAGACTGATAAGTGACTTTGAACTATATTTGATTGTTACTTCTAACCAATTTACAGAAAAGGATGAAACACTTATTTGAAGAGTATCAGAGAGACTTCTCTTGGTCCGAAGCTTCAGAGATAAAGACTTCAAGTCATAGAAGCCACAATACAAATAATGTATTCTACGTATCTCCTTAAATCTTCCCAAGTCCCAACAGAGCAGCACATTTAAGTTTAACAAGCACAATTCCTTAGTGCTCTTCTCTTTTTCTCTCATTGTCTTTACATATATTCTCCCTTATGTGCCATATCACAGGACACAACTTTAAATTGGCTTTCTGGACTTAAAGCTCTTCTGCAGAAACCAGCCAGTTATACCCATCCTTCCTTCCCGTGTGTGTGTGTGTGTGTGTGTGAGCGTGTGTGTGTGTGTGTGTGTGTGTGTGTGTGTGGTGTGTGTGTGTGTGTGTGTGTGTGTGTGTGTGTGTGAAGACGCTCTCCTCTTTTGATCAGTGGCATGGTGACTCCTAATTTACCAAGTCCCTATGTGATCAAAAGGGGCTCAGACTGTAAAATATAAAAAGCTAATGAACGGTGTACCTCCTGAGATAACGAAGGGAGGCGTGAACTATGAGAGAGATATAAAAAAATGTAAGTGCTACATTTAATAATTACTCCCCTAATTTTTTTTTTTTTTAAAAGACACACTTAATGTTATAATTCACCATGGAATAAGCATAACGCAGCGTCCAGGCGGCGGCGTGCGTTGAAGCTTGCCGGTGAGCGTGTCTGAAACTCGACCAACAACCAATCACATGAATCTCCCGCCCCGGGCACACAAGCACGCACGTTTGATTGGCTTGAGCTTGTACTAGCATATGATTTGATTGGCTGACGCTTCGGGCCGTAACCCAACAGTTCAAACAAACATTATTGCGTGCATACACACATAATTGATTTTCAAAGGATTGCAACAGCCTAATAAGGCTAGATGATAAACACTGTTCTGGTTTACCTCCATTACGTGCGTACAAATACACACATGCAAATAAAGAGACAAACACATAGACATTCAAAAACATGTAAAAGAGGCGCACATCAGGGACAGGGGTTGCAGGGGAGGTGAGTGGGTTACAGGGGAGGTGAGTGGGTTGCAGGGGAGGTGAGTGGGTTAAAGCCGAGGAAGGCAAGTGAAATTTGCAATGCATCACATTAGAGGCAGCAGTGAGACGGTTGGGCTGAGGGGAGTTAAGCAAGATTTATATTCAGAGGAGGACACGTATTGGCAGGCATGGAGTACCTATGTTAAGAGGCTCGGGAGAGGAGGGGGATGGTATTGATGAGGAAGTGCAGGAAAGAAGCGTGTGGGTGCAGGATTGTTGTCCCCTGGGAAGCTCCGTCTACAGCGGCGATATGGGGCTCAGACAGCGGATTAGTGTTTCTGCTCCATAATCAACTTTCTGTCTGGATCCCATTGCACATAAACAGAAAACAACCACTGCTCACTTGATCCTGCACAATCGTTATCCTTTCTTTTTCCCTCCACTCATTTCTCTTTCATCTCCTTTCCAAAGACAGGATATCTCCTTTGTTTGTTTACCCTTCAAACATTTCACATGTCCCGTCTCTACAGCTTAAGCACCATAATAAACTCACAAACGAAGCTCTCCAGAATTCACTTTTATCATTTCTGCTAACCTCTCTAAAACGTACATTTTCCTAGTATGTCTCTTCAAAGAGAGTCATCTTCCACTAGCCGCAATAGAATCTGCCCCCACTGCAATCTAGGACAAGGCCGGGAACTTTGGGAGTAATTATTTCCGAGAGTGTGTTTGTGCAGAGATGTCAAGGTTATCCTTGGCCAAGGACAAACTATTAGCTCCATCTCACCCTTGGGTCCAAGCTCGCTGCCATCTGCTGCAGTGCGGGGTTATAATACTGGCTGCTCAATCAATAACATATTACATGTTGGCACTGTGCGCCAGCCATAGTCGTGACTTTCTCTGCTTATTAAAAGAAAGGCACATTACACTCCAGAGAGGAAATACAGTACATTTCCCACAAGCAGGCAGCGCCGCAATATCAATAGCACAAAGTGAAATAAAACATAACATTTCTGTTTGCAGAGAAAGAGACTGTTGCCAATCTAAAGTGTATTTTTGTGTGTCCCATCGAATTATTTTAGTATTCAGCCTTCATCTTAAATCAAGTCCCACAGAAAATAAGGTTATTTTCTTTGAGGACAGATGTGCTGAAATTTGATGAAGGTTTCTGAGTGTGTGTGTCTTTGTCTAGAGAAGAGGAGAAGTACTTGGAGATAAAAGCCCAGAGGGGCAGCCAGGAGGAGAGGCAGAGACAGCAGGTGGTGCTAGGAGCGCTCCTGCACCGAGGAGAAGGAGGCTGATGGGTTTTCGTGTCAACAGATCAATAACTGAGACTGAGAGAGGACTATCCAGTTCAGATTGTCTAACAGACTGAGATAAAAGGTCAAAGATGTCGCAAAAACTACACAAACAAACCGTAAACGCAACTGCAATACTGGAAAAAACTGGAAAATAATATGGATGCTCCTGTCCTAGTTTTATCATTTTCATAAATTGTTAATTCTAAACACAACTGGGTCAATCCAGAATTGGAAGACATTTTGTGTCCCACTTATGAAGTTTAGAATAATTCATTCCCAAAATCCTGAAACATGCAATTGTTGCGTTAAATATACTTGTCCTTAGACAAAATGTAAATAGAGTTTTAGAAAAAGTTAATAAAGTAGTATTTGAACAAATAGCTCTCGAACCCCCCCTAACTAGCATTTTTTGTCTTGTCCTTCCTTCTTGGAGACCCACTTGCATGTCAAATAAAACATTTTAAAAGGCTTTTTATCTACTTTGTTTGTTATTATTTTGTTGATAAATATCTCTTGTAATAGTTTTTCGAATGTGATGAGCCTTATTTAGCCTCTTGGCAAAGTTTAGTCGCTAACTTCCTTCACATATACCTGAACATAATCATCTTCATTAATGTATTACTAAATCAGACCGTGAGACTTGGCCCCGCTAATGACAAAACAGCTTGTCTTATTAAAGTGCACACATATAGAGTATGCATGCATATAAGCACACACACAGCTGCAGCCTGTCAGCCTCTCTGTATAGCTTTCTGATTGGACCAGGCAGATTGTCACCTCTTCTGATTCCAACAGGCACACACAGATGAGAGCAACTAATTGCCTCGCAGGGTCACAGACGTGACTCACATGTGACTACTGAAGTTTGGAGGCTTTGTGTGCTTAGGGGAGCCTTTGTCTGTCGTGAGTTTGTGAGTTGCGCGAGTGAGTCACTACAAGATACTTGCAGGGTGTGTTTGTGTTATTATGCAGGCTGGATACTCAACAGTCTCATGGCGTTTGATGGCACCAATGACCTGTGTGAGTGAGGATGTTATGAAGGGCCCTTAGTGCCCGCTAAATTATCCTGTTTTGAAAGGGTGCAAATGAATCACACTGGCAGTCTTACCTTGGCCTGGCCTCAATGTCGCGCTGCAAACAAGGAGAAAGAGACAGAGTGAGAATAAATCATAATTAAAATCTTTGCACGGCAGTTGTGGATAGCATGAGATAAACAACATCATTAACATTAACCCAGTCAACACAGCTGGTGTGGCTTTTTATCTGACCATTTAATGTTCATTTTTATCCACCAGTTATTCTCATGTTTATTCATGATCATATTAAAAAGGAGCAGTGTGGAACAAAGCACCAAGTTAGCCGCACAACACTATTCACGTGCTGGCTTTACTGTTTAATTGTCATTGGGGCTTAAAAGATTGTTTTCCATGTCAAATAGATTGATGTGACTTTTTGACTGCTGGTGTACACAAATACATCAAGTAAAAAGGTATTCATGCGCCAAATGAAAAATGTAATCACATTTCAGATTCTATCAATTTAGAGAAGCTGTTAATGCATTATTTCACATTTAAACACATAACAGTTATTTAATATGAATCTACACCATGTACCACTTTTAAACTCATGATTTAGCATGCAGAACACACAGCTCCAGTACCAATGCAATACACTTGAAATCACTGTCATGTACTACAGCCAAACTACTTGTTATACCATCCCTAATCTCAATTGGTTTATTTTCAGTCAAGAGGACTTTGAGCACAAGGCGGTCTCTTTTGTAATCATTAACAGTCCGCTGAGTCCTGACTGAACTGTAGCAGTGGACCTCGACTACCAGCGCTAAAATGGCTGCATCAGAAAGGGCTTTTAACTAACGGTGTCTCAAAGCCAGTGGCTCCTTGGCAGAGCAGCACATGAGAGGAGAGCTGATGAATGGAGGCTGCAGAGATTTAATTAGCTTCAGAATCTGGACAAATACTTATTTTCAAATATTGGAACTTGGTGAGATTATTTCTGGTTTACCTTGTCGAACACTTAAATAGAATCAAAAGTCAATTAGTGCAAAACTGACATTTACCAAGTAGCTTTGTGACTTTCTAACGAGTAGATTTCCACAGTGGCAGTACACCAAAAGGGAAGAAGACATGCAGAACTGCTTTCATTAAATCCCAATTCAACTGTCTCTTTACACATATATAAGATTTGATCTATCAAGTACATTTAAATTCAAGAGGAGACATATTTCTTTTAAAAAGTAATTATGTTGCCGGGTAAAACATATATATGCAAAATGTTTCAGTAAAGCACCCTTAGCCAGTGATCCATTAAGTGGACTGTACATGAAATATCGTAAGTCAATTTTCAATCTATTCTAAGTGAGTCATTTCTACACTTTAGGAAATATGTTTGCATACTAAAGCGTGACACATCATATTTGCTGAGCTAACATTATCATAACATTGCTAAATGTTGGTCACTTCCTCAATAAACCACAACCATGGTATTTGGTTTTAGTCCCAGTTGTGTGCTTTGTTTAAATGTGGTCCAATTAAAGAGTGTTTTCTGCAGATTCCCACAAAATTGAAAAAAATATACTTTTAGAAAAAAAGGCTGACGGGTATGAAGCATTGTTCCGGCTTTAGATAACCACAGTTTATTACGCCTTTGTTAAAATAATACCTTTACTGTTGAAAAAAACAAGATTTCATATTTCTTATATCATATTATTTACATGGCCTAAGGCAGTGAAATCTATATGTGCACATAAAAACTCAAACTCTCAATGCTACTGTGAGAAATGCATACACCATCAGGATGCACACCATCAGGATGCAACCTGAAACTGCTCCATTCATAATTTAAACAAATAAAAATCAACTTTATGGAATGATGCACCCTTGATCTGTGTGTAATCTCACTCTAACTTCAAAAGAAAACCCCTAATGAGGTTAAATGTATATAAATGATAAGCCTAACTGCAATGATCAATACATAATAATACCAATCAAATTTCATTAGTTCCACCATATAGAAAATGTAGGAAAGGCCAGTCTATCATGAAATAAAAAACTAAGGGCTTCATATGGTGCACATTTAAGTCCATGCATGTACAATGAGCCCTAATGAGGAAATATTGATGAATTATCATTTTATATTGTTCATGAATGGAAACTAAGCTTTTCTCAAACATGCATTATAGATGAATACGAACAAATCTAAAATAAACGCGATGTGTAAAAACAGTGTTTCCTATCTGATTTAAAAGGTAGCCATGAGGCAGCTGCGTTGTTTCTAATCAGCCTCGGACCACTATAGTGAGCCAGGTAACGCTGAGTCATGGTGGGGTCACTGCTGCAGACTCTTAACGCCTGGCTGATGAGGCGTCTTGGCTCTGTTTTAATGCCCCGTCTGTGTCCCTACCAGTCAAGCAGAAAGATCATTTCCTGCCAAGTGACATATAAATGTTTTTTAATTACTGTATGTGTTAGGGAAATAATTGTCCTAGACTCCTAGATATGACGTACAGGACCAACCCTGACGTCTGTTTATCTCCTTTAAGGACATAGGCTGCTTCAGCCATAATGTTAATGTTCCCATTCTATGACCGGTCAACACTAGGTCACAGATGGTCTGTTGTTGTGGGTGCACTGGGACATTTCCTTCTTTGTTGTTTGTGGACTCCAGGGTATGACATATTCGAGGCCATAAATGACGGACGCAAGTAACTCAGTGTGCCCAACTGTCTAAAGCTATCTTATCAAAATATGTTGATTACTCTCTGTGAAACCAGTTAAATGGGCTAACAAGAGAGAGGCGCACCAGAATTGACGTGGCAATCCACCCGTGCAGTCTCACCGTGACTGCTGTGACTTGTGATGTGAATCCTCCGGCCGAAACTCCAAATAAATCATCAGTGTTTGACATCAAAGCTCCTGCTCCACCGTGTCTCCTTCCTGAGTCGGTGACTCCCACTGCATTGCTACACAGAAGTTTCCCTTACAGTATGGTCGTCAGGGAATGTTCGAGTAAACACACTCCGTGGTTGTACAAATGGGTCCCTACTGGCCCTTTTTTAATGAAAATCTGGAGACAGAGCATTTTTATAACAAATGTTCTCGGTCTGAGACAAAGTCTCTTAATATATTCTCCCTCTGGCTCCCACTGATTGGTCAATTTTCTCAATGTTTTTCTCATCCCCGCTCAACATCTTTTTTATGTGTGTGTATGTGTGTCTTTACCTGTGCTCCTGTGCCTGCATTTAAACAAAGACAAGAGATTAATAACTGAACCAGTGGTAATGTGTTTGTTTGACCTTAAGCAAGAAGACTCACCTCAATTATGTGGTTTATTCTTTTGGGAGCAGTTTAAAGGATGGGTTTTATGCAGGTGTGAAACATTTGACATCATAGTTGCTTCGTTCAGCAGACTGCAGTATATGAGTTTATTATTCTTTAAAGGCAGCTAGCACTCTCTGACTTTGCTCTGAAGCTCAAAGCTTTACTTCAAAACCTTTTTTGGAATCAAGGCACTTCTTCCAAAAAGTGCTCGAGGCTATACCTCTCTACCTCTCTGGCAAACAGGATTAGGTTGCACTTTACACAAGCTCACACAAAAAACAAAAATTCACAAGGTTTATACATATTTTAAAAAGTTTTAGAGTATTTTCTTTTATAGTGTCACATACCCTGATGTTATGGTTTCTTTCCTTGACTTCAAATCCAAAACACTATGACATTCTAGGACTTATGCAAAAATAATGATATCGAATACACACTACTGCAGCTCTTGCTAGCGGTGTGTGCTGAAACAACCTATTAATCAATTAGAATATCAACCCAAAGCCTAAAAAGTACGTGTTGCTTTCCTACTTTTCATACATTCTACACTTACTTGATTTTGAATGCAGGCAAGTCAAAACATCACTCTGAGCTGTCAGTTTGAGATTTGTCACGTTTTAACACCTACTAACTAATGAATCGAACCAACTATTGGTAGATGGATCAAACGAAGTATTGTTCAGTTCTAGCATCACAGTTGAGCAGAACTGCAGTAAAGGGGCAAGTGAATGATTGTAGTTCAATGTGTCGTCTGTAGGCACAGCCACTGTGAGACTAACAGTGACAGAGTGAGGGAGCAAAAAGGAGAATTCATGTTTGAGCCAGTTGTTCTCTGGATTCACGAGGCTCTCTACACGTCGTAAATGTTTTACCGAGGACAAAATTGATGGAGGTCTTGCTGAGTTTGCGATGCGATGACTGTTTTGGCGCCCTGAGATTCTTTCACATTAAATCTCAGACTACACATTAAAACTCATCCCAGATCAACATTAAAAAGACATATAATTACTGGATGAGTATTAAAGTGCTGCATAAGCTCCCTCTCTACACCTACACACACCTCTCCTGTGATAAAATAATACGTCCCGTTCTAGCAATAACTAACACATGAGAACAAACAGGGTAACCATCGGCATTCAATTAGAGCCTTAATGAACCTGGCCCACAATGGATTCATTTCTCAGCCAGAAAAGCAATCTGCATGTCAGCTACCGCCATTACTGCAGCCTCCCTGCTCCCACAGAGCATCACCAGGGAACACTCAGGCCTCCTTTTCCTGACTGTGCTGACTTAAGTACGGAGAGTGACAAATGGACCGATGGGATGTTTTAATCTGGGATCTATAGGCAGTAAAAGCCCCCACTTCAATTTCCAAATTAGAGATGAGGGAGTGAAGTGCAGCAGGATCTGAAGTGACCCAAGTGTGTTGGCATGCCATTTCCTTAGTGCCAATGTATGTGTAAATGAATGAATTACATACTGTAACAGCACTCAGCACTTTGGCATGGGAAGCTTACTATGACTAACGGGCAGGCATGTAAAAAGAAGAAGAGTGTACCTGCTGTGTTCATGGCAGAATTACAGAGGACAAACACCGTTACACGTATGCTTCATCAGCCTACAGCGCAGGATTTATGTGCATCTAACTACCTGTATGACACTGACACAGCTGACTGATAGGAAAACTGCATTTTTCTCAAATAATATACGCCCGGATAACTACAGCTGGTCTCTCCTTTCATTTGCAACAAAGCTGTGTATTGCGGCACCTGTTTACCATATACATTTTCGCCATAATGACTATGTAGCAGATGCCGCGGTCATTAGTAAGATAATACTTTAAGTTGAAGGCCTGGGATCACACCCCATGGCTGCTAGCATTGAGGATACCCTGCCTAAAGTGTCCTTAAGCAGCGCATCGGACCGACTCCCCATCAGCGGAAATATAACAAAGATAAGTCGTATCATAAGCAAAGGAAGACAGGTTGAGTTTACATTTGAAACAATATCTACTACAGCATGCTCTGTAAAGTTGGATACAGATGATCAGCAACATAACAGCTTTCTGCTTGCTGGCAAATAGTTTGTAATTGACAAGGCAATAGTTCCAGTTTTACAAGGCTGCCCTCAGTAACTGCTTTGGCAGCAGAACTCTGTGTTTAAAATCTACGTTAATTTATCATTGGCCGTGTTTGTTTGGGCTCTATCAATATGATCTCATCAGATAGAGTCTTGTCATTTTATTTTGTAATTTAAGCTTTACTTAAATATGAGTCTCTGGATCTAAAACATCAGGTTTTCTTTCATTTTGGTAACTGTTTTCCTGTTTGGTCATGCATTTTGATTATAACAAGCTAAGATTGCTATGTGAATTAAGTTAAATGCTCACCAGTTATTAACCAACTTTCATCTCTGAAAAAAGTGCATTCAGTATCTTATTATTTTGAATACATTTCCAGGACTGGAATCTGAGAATGTAATAAAGCCAGGTTCTAAATGCTCGTTTCATGTTGTTCATGTATGACAGCCAAGGTTTTTACAGAGGACATTTTTTATTTAACTCAATAAATCTGAAAATACTGTCAACAGCCATACCAAATAAATAAGTCAATTTTTTGAGTAGTTTCTTGTCTTGAAGATAGTTATAACTGGTATGAAAAACCCCATTCATTATTTCCACAAAGAAGTCACCTTAGATTAGATAGGCCACATCTTAGCACCTTTATCTACATCAGTCTAATGAAGTCTAATGCATGAGACTGAGGTTATGTAAAGCAGCAATATAAAGAAGGTGAAATGGTGTGTTTCACAGTTTCCGAAGTGCCAATTAAAGCTTTAAAATCCACTGGGCTTTGGTGACATTATAAACTTGCTAACCTTTCTATTTACCTTCACTGTAACTGTGCAGTAAGTGAAATACAGACTGCTGATTGTGTGAAAGCAGTTTAAGGATCAGAATAAGGACGATAACGAACAAAGGTTCTTCTCACCTGGACTCTGTGGGCTGGTACCGCTGCTAGAGCTACTGCTGCCCCCGCAGGGCCCAACGCCTCCGCCTTTTCCAGCAGGCACAGCTGGTGTGTGATGTTGGCCATCTCCTCCTGCAGGCGCTCCGTTTCGACAGAGATCTCAGCGATTTTCTCAGCAGCGGATGCCGTTAGGAAGGCTTCTTTGAGGTCTACCAGATGAAGGGTCCTCTTCTCCTCCAGACGCACCAGTCTGCGTAGCTCATCGAACTGGCTGTTCACATAGGCCTCCAGCTCTTCTACTGACATCTAAGATATGGAGACGAAGTATAGGAGACAGCGGGGGATGAGTGTAAGTGAAGGAATGAACTGGGCAAATGTAAGTCCAGGAAGTCCAAATGACCAAGACGCTACGATGCTGGTATGCCTTTTCAAGTAAACCCAGTGTTTCCACTAGGATGGAGTCATAGCAGCGGTGCTAAGGCACGCGGGCCCAGCATAATGTGAGCGCGGAGCGCGTGGAATTTCTTTGTGTGTGCGAAGTGCACCACGCCAATTTGTTTCTATGTGTCTGCCAGCACAAGAAAGGCTCTTGAGGCCTAGTACCAGGGCCGGTTCTAGCCAATTTGCTGCCCTAGACAAGATTTTAGGCGAGATTTTATATATAAAGAATAAATGAAAAATCTCTACAAAAGACAAATACACTGCAAAAACAGAAACTTATTTCTACACTTTCATCACTTACAGCGCCCATCGTACAGGGCAAATGAAAAGTGTAACCGGGGTGAAAAGGGTGTTACATTTACTTAATTATGAATGTTGTTACATCAAGGCCAAAAATTAGGATGAGCACCAACGGTCAAAAATGTTTTTTCCCCTCCCAGAGCTACCAGCGCAGCGCCCCCCAGATCTGGCGCCCTAGGCCTATGCCAAAAATCGGCCCTGCCAGTACATAATGGCAATGTCTCAAAATTGAGCAAAAATACACCTTTATTGAACATACAGTAACACAAATACTACAAATCCACATAACAAACAATCAAAAATGAAAAAGGGTCGCCACTTATTATTATTTTAATTTTTTCCCAAAAGTTTTTAAAAAATGCCGCCGCTATAGGGGAAACACTGAAACCTGAATGAACTTTACTGTAGGTATGAAATATTGAGATCAACTCAGAAAAATGGAGGCAGAGATAGACATTAAACAAGTAAAACATTAGATGAGATGACAGAAAAAATGTAAATTGAACATCCAGATGCAAAAAAGAATAATGCATAAACCCAAAATATAGGAGCAGCAAAGTCTTCTGACTTTTATGTTGACATGTGAATACTATTTTAATAAGCCCGCTGGTCTCTATCATGCAGTAGCTAATTGATAGCATGAAGCAGATCCCCTGGAGCTGAACTCCATGCATCCCATCTGTATATAGAGACCTCAGAGGCTCTTTCAACCACAGAAAGCCATCTGTTTGGCTTTCAAGGCAACTGAACAGCTCACTGAGAAACCCGTTTTAATCCATTTCCCTGTTCCCTGATGAAACTCTCTTTAGCTATGACTCATTAGGTTAAAAAACACCTCAATTAACAGATGGCTACCCTACCGATGTGGCTCCACCTCCAGCACACATTCTGTCCTAAGCTAAAACACCCAAAAATCTCCTTGTCATGATCTCTTCTTCTGAATATGTTATAACCCCTTTTATCTATGAACACTGAACAGCAGCTGCTCAGTCTCTTCTCTTCCCTCGGCAGAACTTCACTCTCTTCCTCTCCACCTAGCTTCCCCTCAGCCTCCCTCTCTGCAGCGAAGCGAGGAATCATAAGTCTTTACGGAGGTTGGCAGAGCCAATGCCCCTGGGGCCCCACATTTTCATTGTGTATATTCTATTTTCAATACAAGCAATCAAGATTTTCCAAATTGTCCATTAAACCAAGCTCAAGAAGTAACATTTTTAATTTACTTTCTTTGTATGAGCAAACTAAAGTTTGCACATTGCTCATTTTGATTCAGACGAAGGGACATGGTTAACATCTAATTCAAAATAAAAAAGTCCTTTTCTCTTTTTGGTTCAGCAAAAATCAATAACCTGAAAATATTTCTAATTAACTAGTAACAATTGACTACTACTGCCTTGGTCTAGCAACCAATTTGTTTCTTGTCTAGATACTCAAGTGAAGCATATCTTTGAATGTGAAAGAGTGGTGTGAATCAAGCATCCTTTTCCAAATGTATCTTTCTATGCCTTTGAAAGTTATCTTACTTTAACGCACAGGGCAATAGAAGGGAGTGCTCAAATATAATAAATCCAACAAAATTACAATACAAGATGATTAAATCTTCAAGAAGACTCATCAATTTAAATGTGAGCAGTGAACACTTAGAAAACACATTAAGAAAATGACAAGGCATTTACTACCTCATTTCGTAATTGGGAAAAAAATGTAATGCTTAAGCTGTTGCTCATGTTTTAGAGTATGAAGCATCTTGCTCTGATTGAGGTGTCATGAACACCATGATGGATTTACATATTCAATTTTACTCTTAATTTCTTTACAGTTGTCACAGCCTTTCCGGGTCCTTCTGCTCTTCACTGTGTGTGGGTGCATCTTTCAAGAGCTGCTTCCTGACAGTGAGCATCTTCAAACAATCACCGGGGCAATAAAACCATTTCATGATTCTAAATTAAGCCTCAGTCTCCCTCAAGCCTGTGCCAGATCGGCTTGTTTGTTTTGCACAGCTCTTAAGCCACTTTTTCATGCCTTGTTTTGAGACCTGACTTTTTGCCCGTTTTCCAGTCAACAGCCATTGCCTGTACCTCTGGTGCCAGACCTTTGGATTTTTTACCTATGCCTGTATACTGATGAAGAGTTAAACCATAGCTATTTATTTTTAAATGGCTAGTCTGTCAATGACTTAAAGTACAACTATATCGATTTTTATGTTTGCAATTGTCCAATAATCCTCTTTAAAATGTAATTTAAAATTTGAATTCATGATCAGTAGCTTGTGGCTAATGTTAGCTTATGGTAAAAACGTTAGCATAGTTCAGACAAGGCACTATAAGATAAGACAACCCTTTATGAATCCCCATAGTGAAACTCAGGGTTCAGTTACATACAGTGGGGCAAAAAAGCATTTAGTCAGCCACCAATTGTGCAAGTTCTCCCACTTAAAAAGATGAGAGAGGCCTGTAATTTTCATCCTAGGTACACTTCAACTATGAGAGACAGAATGGGGGGAAAGAATCCAGGAAATCACGTTGTAGGATTTTTAATGAATTCATTGGTAAATTCCTCGGTAAAATAAGTATTTGGTCACCTACAAACAAACAAGATTTCTGGCTCTCACAGACCTGTAACTTCTTCTTTAAGAGCATCCTCTGTCCTCCACTTGTTAACTGTATTAATGGCACCTGTTTGAACTCGTTATCAGTATAAAAGACACCTGTCCACAACCTGAAACAGTCACACTCCAAACTCCATTATGGCCAAGACCAAAGAGCTGTCAAAGGACACCAGAAACAAAATTGTAGACCTGCACCAGGCTGGGAAGACTGAATCTGCAATATAGGTAAGCAGCTTGGTGTGAAGAAATCAACTGTGGGAGCAATTATTATAAAATGGAAGACATACAAGACCACTGATAATCTCCCTCGATCTGGGGCTCCACGCAAGATCTCACCCCGTGGGGTCAAAATGATCACAAGAACGGTGAGCAAAAATCCCAGAACCACACGGGGGGACCTAGTCAATGACCTGCAGAGCTGGGACCAAAGTAACAAAGGCTACCATCAGTAACACACTACGCCGCCAGGGACTCAAATCCTGCAGTGCCAGACGTGTCCCCCTGCTTAAGCCAGTACATGTCCAGGCCCGTCTGAAGTTTGCTAGAGAGCATTTAGATGATCCAGAAGAGGATTGGGAGAATGTCATATGGTCAGATGAAACCAAAATAGAACTTTTTGGTAAAAAGTACTCAACTAGACGTGTTTGGAGGAGAAAGAATGCTGAGTTGCATCCAAAGAACACCATACCTACTGTGAAACATGGGGGTGGAAACATCATGCTTTGGGGCTGTTTTTCTGCAAAGGGACCAGGACGACTGATCCGTGTAAAGGAAAGAATGAATGGGGCCATGTATCGTGAGATTTTGAGTGACAACCTCCTTCCATCAGCAAGGGCATTGAAGATGAAACGTGGCTGGGTCTGTCAGCATGACAATGACCCCAAACACACCGCCCGGGCAACGAAGGAGTGGCTTCATAAGAAGCATTTCAAGGTCCTGGAGTGGCCTAGCCAGTCTCCAGATCTCAACCCCATAGAAAATCTTTGGAGGGAGTTGAAAGTCTGTGTTGCCCAGCGACAGCCCCAAAACATCACTGCTCTAGAGGAGATCTGCATGGAGGAATGGGCCAAAATACCAGCAACAGTGTGTGAAAACCTTGTGAAGACTTACAGAAAACGTTTGACCTCTGTCATTGCCAACAAAGGGTAGATAACAAAGTATTGAGATGAACTTTTGTTATTGACCAAATACTTATTTTCCACCATAATTTGCAAATAAATTCTTTAAAAATCAGACAATGTGATTATCTGGATTTTTTTTCTTCTCATTTTGTCTCTCATAGTTGAGGTATACCTAGGATGAAAATTACAGGCCTCTCTCATCTTTTTAAGTGGGAGAACTTGCACAATTGGTGGCTGACTAAATACGTTTTTGCCCCACTGTATAAAGGTGGCGTAATGGACAAAACTGAGTAATTTAGCCGTCTCTTCTATACTTGTAGTGGCAAAACTCCCAATATGTTCTGTCGCTGAGAGGCTAAAACTTGGCTCATCACATTTCCTTACTTAATTCCTGTTCCTGTTGCATGCTTGTCTTTAAGCAGTCTTTATAGCACAATCATAGCAGCCACTTCTGCCTTGGCTTTTATATATGCAGATGTATAGGTCGATTATCTGGATCTTGAACCATGAGTAAGTCTGCTTTTCCTGTTTTCAATATTTGATACTGCACATTCCATTCTCGTTTCTGTTTTTAACACTCATTTTGGATTTTCTAGTATGCACCGTTCCTAAAAGATTTACAGCAACACAACAGCATTCACATCAATCTTGTCGCTTTTGTAGGGTTTGATCTCAGCGGTGCGCGGTGGTCACAGCGCTACAAACAATTCCAATAGTCCAAACTTCTTCCGCTGATATTGCCATAAACCAGCAAGCACAACACAGGCAAAAAAGCAGTGTCCAATGGACTAGCCGCAACACTTCAAAACTGTGTTCAGAGAAACAAACACAGAAGGAAT